TGCACAGCTGTGGGATCAAATTATGTTTGACACATTAGTGGGAATTACAGGTTTTCTTGATGTCAAACTGCATGACAAAGACAACTCAGAATCTTTTAGGTGTTCTGTCATCAACAGCAGTTTGCTGGTGTTTCCTGTTGAGTCAGATCCTTCTAGTTTTTCTGATGGGACATTCACATGAAGGGGAAGGAAGCAGAAGGATTTGCAGTGATTATGGCCATTTTAGGGGCAAAAAATTGGAAAAAAAACCCACCAGCTGGGGTTAACAGAATATTAAAAAACCCCAAAACTTCCCAGCCTTCTGGCCTTGCAAACTTGATGCTGGGTTCACTGCAAACTGAGAAGCTATAGTGATCTTTTGAGAGGCAAAAGTTGGTCCAAGATCTAGTATTAGGTGGCATTTACTTTAGAAAAAAAATAAGTTTTGGCTAACTCAACCCCAAACAGTAAGGTTCTCCAAAACCAGCATGAAGTTTTTGCTGGGGAAAGATTACCTCTAAGCTTTCCCTTTAGAGCCCTTTCCAAAACCACAGATGCAAAGTAATGCCAAACAGCAATGGTATTGAAGTCACCTGTAAGGAAATACTGCCTTGTTCTGAGATCAACTTCTGGTGTGGTTTAGTGCAGGTATGGCACCAACTGAAGAACTCTAACACAAGGGCCCCATTGCCTAGTATGTCCCCCATCCAACTGTATGCAAATGACTTTAGGTCAGAGGAGGAAAAATATTAAGTTTAGTTTTCATTCTTTTTATTCAGACTGCAATATCTTTGGGTCAGGACTGACTTGTTCTGCACTGGGTGGGCAGTACCTTGATCTAGGGAGACCCCAATCTCTTAGTCTCTATACTTGTCTCTAGCACAAGTAATCATTAATATTACTTCAATGTAAAAATGACATCTTTCTGAATTACTTAGCTTTCCAGAAACAGACAGGAACACCACTAGTTTATGTTTTGCTATGTTTGAAAGCATGCAATTAGACACGGATCTTACAAACATAAACAAACACTCCCATTCAACCTCCATGTTTCTAAAAAACCCCAGGTTTGTTTAGACAAGGGGTTGATAATCCAGTTTGAACACAGGTATCTGAATGCTGTGACAGCTTCTTCATAATGCTCAGCTTATGGTACATTAAACTTTAAAGCAAGATAAACTCCTGCTTTCATTTTATCAAACATCTACCCAGACAGCAAAAAGAAAGACACAAAGCAATGTTTGCAGCTACAACCAAGCATGGGATATCCAACTCAGCATATGTTTGAAATGAAAATGAACAATATGTTGCATAGATATACTACTGTATTTTTCAATTGAGAATATCACTGGGATTTGTAAATGTTAAACTCATTCTTCCCTTAAGAGTTTGGTTTTATTTCATGCCTAAAAAAAGCCCCTGAGATTCACAGAGATTAGGCAAATAGAGACAGCAGTGCCTGCAATTGAGAAAGAAAGTGCTCTTAAAAGAAACTGCTCTGATAATCAGTTTGGGTGGAAGAAATCACAGGGGAGGACACAGACAAGACATTTTTTAAGAGTGCTAAGTGTTTTTTAAGAGTGCCACTGGTATTACTGAACTTTGGTAGTTAGCCATATTATGCCTTTTTGTGGTCAATAAAGCAGCAATCTGCCTATCACAATAATAATGATGTAGCAACAGACATCCAAGAATCCATGATAAGAAATCTGCAAGAGACTTTTACCTACAGAGAACAAGTAGCAAGAATGGGGAGGGCAGCAGATGACTAAATCCTCCAGGAATGGGGGATAGCAAAGAGGCTCGAGCAGCCTCTTAATTTAACAGATTACCAAAAAAACAGCTATTCAAATCCAAACAGACTATGTACCAAAAAGCTTCATAGGTCTTTCTACTCCCAGTATTTCATCAACTACCTTACAAAGCCTCTCCTTAGAGCTGACTTAAGGTCATGTAAAAGACAAACACTGAAAGGTTATAGTTGCTTCCCCTGATTTAAAACTGACACATTACACTACAAGCATCACCTTCATATTACACTGAGGACAACGCATGAGAAATCAGAGATGTGCTATTACATGATTTGCTTAAAGAGTGATTATGTTCATTGTACCATAAACAACAGGCTAAAAATTATCAAATCGTCCAAGTTTCTAAGAATTGTATAGGGAAGATTCAAGTCTTTCTTTAGAGAGCTTGTTTCTAAGACTCCTAAAGAAAGACTTGTATCTTCCCTATAAGTTAATTTTTATGCAGCTGCAACCTCTGCTCCCCTTCCCAATCAACCCTTTCTTCTCTCCCTTTTTCATATGACCTCACCATACCCCAAAATGTGAAGAGATTGGTCTTATCACAGTTTAGCAAGATACCACCTGCCAGCTGAGCTGTGACAAATCCCAGCTGGCCTTACAATGCCCACACTCACAGGGACTGAGGCTGAGCTGATGGACAGCAGCTCAAGGCTGTGGTTTAAAGCACTGAGTACCCCCATCCATGAAAACTGTGCTAAAGGAAAGAGCTCAATAAGATGAGTGTTGCCATGACCACATTCCTATTCTAGTGTGCATTAGATCTTTTTACTCTCTCCTCTACGTGCAATTGCCTTCTGCTGAGCCTTGCTAAGCCTTTTACAGCCAACAAGGTGGACAAACTGCCTGTTCTTTGTACTCACACAACAGTTGACACAACATGACCCCAATCAATCATATGCTACTACCACAACAAAATTTACAACAGCAAATATTCATTCCTCCCTCTCCCCTGGATTGCCCTTCTGAAGAGACACAATCTTGGAAGAAAAAAGCTAAAAAAAGAATAATTCAGTAGTTATTAAAAAATTAGGAAAAGGCTTATAAAGAAAACCTCAAAGGAACCTTAAGAGTTATTACTTTATTATTACTCCTGCCACACACAACACTCACGTTTTCTTAACTCCTAGAAGAGACAGATAATCAGGTATGCAACATGATTGCAATAAAAACATTTTCTAGAATTAGAGGCCTGCATTTCTATTAGCAACCATTTCACACACTTAATGTTTAAATAATTCCTTGAACCCAAGATTTCATGAATAAAGGAAGATGTGAGCATGCATTGAGTTTACTGATTGTTTAAACACGCAGGTAGTATAAAAAATTTCAACAAAATAGACTCAAATTAGAAAGCTGACAAGTCTGAACAACTACCACACTTGCAGATGTGCTTCAAGACTTTAACCTTACAGGCTCAGGCACTGCACTTTACTAAGATGAACAGATGTGAACAGCTCAGTCCTTTGAAAGGCAAACCTACCAAAAACCCATAGCTTATTTCATTGCAAGCTTAATAATCACCAGCTTCCCACTGGAAGAGTGATCTGTAGACACCTGTATCTAATAAGCTACTGAAAAATAAACTTGAATCTGTAGATCAACAAGATTGGTTAGTTGTAACCATTTACAAGCATAAAACACTTTTCCCATATAAAACTTCTTCTTGATGCTTTCACAGAACTCACCTTCAGCCAGGAAAGCAGACACACTGAATGGGGTGTCTCTAATGTTAGACAATTTCCCACCTCACTGCTAAGTTGAGCTTTTTGAAACTTTCACGGTAGGCCCTCAATTCAGCAGTAACTGAGCACAGCCATGAGTCTGGTTTAACCCTGCAATTAGAGCTAGCTTTGTTAATGGCAAGACCAAATGTGCACTAAACCCTCATGTCTTAACTTCAAGGGGAGGAACAGCCTTACCTAAACTGAACCAGAAAATGGGGCCCTGGGCAAACACACACCAGACAGTGCCTGAGATTTACAAGGAGCAGTTCTGGGTCTCTGGAGATCTCGGCACATCCGGACATGAGCTATGTGGAAGTATCAGGTAATTTCAAATGATTCACAGGTGGCCAGACCTCACCAGCTGATCTGCTGCTTTTCTGAACTGTGGATGTGCCTCTGTCCTCCCTCTCTCCCTCTTGAGCTCCCAGAGATGTCACAGGTCTGCAGCTAAACAGCATGGTCTTAATGATCTAGAGCCACTGTTCTTTTTCCCAGTAAAATGCAGAGGAGGTAGGACTTGGATGTTTGCAATTATTTGGGCAGATCTTGTTAAGGAAGCAGGCTCACCCACCTATTTGCCACAGCAACACGTCAGATATAGACATGACTCTTTTTAGTCTCTCTATACTCTCCCTGAACACAGAAGGAAGTTGAACAAAGCTCAACAGGGTGAAAGAATGACAAAATGTATGCAAAGAGATCTGTCATTTACATTGCTACAACAATTGTGCTAAACTCACTGTGCCATCACAATTCTCTTCCTGATTAGCTTTGGATTTTTGGTGGATTTTTTTTTTTCAGCAACAGTCCCTGAAACCTTTTCTTGAACACTCATACAATTGAGAAAAACCCCATTATTTTACTGGAAGGCAGGATTTAAAGATAAATGCAAGGGAAAAGTCAGAAAAACACTCCCAGTTCAGCTAATATAATTTCTGAAAGAAATTGTCAGAACAGGGGGGAGGGTTTGTTTTTTTTTTCAGCACAGGTCACTGCATTGCCTACTGTGCTAACCATTACAGCTGCTGTTATTCTGATTTGTGTCTACTAGTCAGCGTGGAAAGAACAAGAGAGGAAATTCAAGCAGCAGTTTGAGTGTCTGTACACTTAAGCCAAAAAACAAGTGTGTGCAGCACAGCAGAGAGAAGAGGTCCAACAAGTATTTGGTTTCTTTTTGATGTGGACCAATGCTCCTGCTGCCCAAAGAAATTATTAAGAAACCAACAAATAAGTTCTTAACTTAGAAGATCATTTTTGTTAGCAGTTGGTAAAGCACTTACAAGACAATATTGCAAGGAGAGAATTCTCTAAAAGCACAGTGAGTTTTGTGAGTATTTATTGCACTCTCTGCTTCCAAACCAACTCCCCCTCCACTTCCCTCCTAGGAAATTACTTTCCAGTTTCCCCTCATGGATAAGACTCTACAGATGCTGGGTTTCAGCAGGTTTGTGTCTGATGTGTAACCCATGTCACTGCTCTCACTTACCAATACAGCAGGACCAGCAGGACTGCCAGCAGTGCCAGGGTGGCTGTGGTACTGTTCATTCCTGGGCAGGCAAGTGCCAGAAGATCTGCAGGCTCCATTTTCCTCCACTACAGCTGCAGCCTTGGGTGCTGTGTGCAGGGGAAAGCCTCCACAAGGGCTGATAAAGCCTTCCACAGCTAAAAGAATGACATCTGCAACAAAACAGGAACTGAGAGAGCAAAAACATGTCATCACAATCAGCAAACCTTCTCTTTTCTCATCCACTGCACACTCTGAGACAGACCTCAAAGGTTCCCTGAGTGGCAGAATGTAGCAATTTCCCCCCTCCCACTGTTGTTGACTGTCATGCTAGTAAATATTTACATACCCACTGCCTGAGACATCAGCGTTGCTGAATGGGTTTTTTGACCTAAAGTTTGGGAATCTGGGAAATGTGTGGGGAAAATAAATGGGGAAGACAGCCTGACCATGTTACAGATCATGGAAGAAAAATATAAAGGCACTTCAGGGTTGTCCTGACATACAAACAGTGGAGTTCTCTAAAGTAATTAAAATAGAGCATTTTTGCAATATGAAACTTCATTAGCAACTAATTTCAATGCTGGTTATACCTTGTAAGAATACAACAAAGTAAACTTTAAATTACTACAACTAAAGGGAGGAATTAGAGGAAAGTTGGTTTAATGTGACTTCTAGAATGCCTATAAAGAAAGACCAAATGAGCAGAAAACCCCAGGTTTTTGAGGGTAGCACCAGATCCATATGTCAGCATCTGTCACACAGATGAGTCCACACAGACAGCACTTGTTTGGCTGTATCATCTCAACTTCACAAGGGCTACAGTAAATTTTCCTGGCTCAGTGCACTGTCCCCCTTGGAGGCATCACTAACCAGTCTCTCCAGAGATACTTTGGCTACCCCTACAAATAGTTGTATTTCTAGTGTCAGGTTTAACACCAATATGGTCAAATCTACTATCTCTGCACTGTGGCACAGTGAGGCTGCCACAGCCCCATGAACAAACTGCACACAACCACCAAGTTTTGGCTGCAGTTCTGGAAATGGTTAGTTCTCTGTATATGAATTATTCAGCTTTCTTCCATATTTTCCTGCCTGTAAACCTCAAGCCTGTTTTAAGCATCTGATCCAGTCCAACTAGAAAGGTAAACCAAAGAACACACCTTGGAGCACTTCTACAGGAGAAGCCCACCAACCTGTTATACACTAAAATAACCAAATTCCACGAGCAAAAAAATCTTCAGGACAACAACATCAGAAGCAGCAGCTTGCACGTAAACACCTCAGCCCATGACGAAATTCCCTGAACTGTCCAGTATGGTTTGTTACTTAAGAAACTATAAATTCTCATATATGTGCTTAGGATGGAGTTTCCATCCATCCTAAAAAGCCTATCTGAAAGATCAGGAAATAAATGCTATACAAAAATGTGGTTTGTGAATCATATGGTAACCCTGAGAACCAGAAATTCTGTAACATCTGATTCTCCTAACACGCCTCATGAAGAGTGGTTTCTTCTCTGACTACCCCAAGACAATAGCTTAGATTTAACGTGCAAGGCTTCTCCAATATCACTGTATTACACTTCCTGCTTTTATCATAGAAGTTAATAATATAGGTATCAAAAAAGTAAAGTCTTTAACACAATGGAGTTTAATTTTAAGAAGATTTGGCTCTACTCTAAGTGAATCACTGCTATTTTGGTTCTTCATGCTTCACAACTGCATTAATTCCCTTCCAGCCTGAGATCCTTACAGAATAAGTAGAAGGTGTTAACCAGCTCATCAGCTCCACAGAATAGGGAGGAAGCTCACAGAAAACCTTGCTGCAGGTATTATCAACTCCACTGCTATTCTAGGTCAGTAACAGCTCTGCTGGTTTGCTGCTGCTGCTGGAAAGTTCTGCAAGAACAACTCCAACAAGATTTAACACCAGTGACACAAGGAATTAATCAGTGGGCACAAGCTAATCCCAATAACAACCAATCCTGTGGGACTTCCAGAAAAAGAAAAAAAAAATCAAACATTGATATGCATCAAAGTCTTTTCTAAAAGACTTTTCTTCTTTTCTTCTCTTCTTTCTTTTCCAAAAGATTTGTCTTTTCTTCTACCACAGGGGAAGAAGGCAAGAAATAATATTCCAATTTTACTTTATTGGCTTTTTAATAAAAGACATTTTTCTGCCTATAGAGGACAGATGTGCTCTTATTAAAATCAACTGCATGACTCCTATCAGCACACACAGGTCAAGTAGAGACCTCACTTGTTTTTTAAGGAGCACTGGAGTCTTTTCCCAGTCACACTGAGAGACAGGAGGTATGAATAGTTCTTAAACATATGCCTATGAAAGAAAATAGGGTCTCACACCAGAATCCAGTTTGGAAAAGAACACATAATTAACCTTTTTTTTTTTTTTTTTTTTTTTTTTGCTTTTCTTTTCATCCTTTTCTGCTGTTGATGGTGGGGTTTGTTTTGTTTCACTTTTTAAGCCTCATCACCTTGGTAAAGGATTTTAACTTGGCACCTCTGACCATGAAGAAGGGTGGCAAGCATTGACTCTAAAACCCACCTGGAGCGCTTCTCATCACAGACAGAGGCACTTACAGTTATTGTCTTGGAGCTAGGGACCTCAGCTCTGTGAAGAGTCACATAAATTCACATGATAGTTGTGAGGGGGGGAAAGGAGTCAGGGATGCAGAGAGCAATGAAAACAAGCTAATTATCAATCCAGAGAATTCTCTTTACAAGTTTTTTTACGTGAGAAATGTCACCCTAATTAAGACTCAATAGCACAGATATTTTGCACCAACCTCCAAGCCCCTTTGCGGAGTCACGGTGGGCAGCACGGTGACAGTGTCAAGGAACTACAGGCACAAAGTCCCCCCTGCCCGCAGGCTGGAGGAAGCCAGAGACAAGTAGCAGAAAGCCTTTTCCTGTCAGACTGCTGTGAGTCAGCAGCCGTGCCTGCATTTGCATCCACGAGGCTTCCCTCCAGGCTGCATCCACCAAGGCTTGCAGCTCCCTGACACGGGGCCGTCCACGCTCTTCCCTTCCGTGGCGATTACATTCCACAGGTCACCACCTGGTTCATCACAGACAGATGTGGATAAAAGCTGCACTGGAGGGACCCATCTCAGCCTCCGTTCCCCACCACGCAGTGCCTGGGAGCTCCCCAGCAAACACAGCAGGAGTTTGGTGCTGAGCAGCCCGGGCTGCAGCCTGCACACACACCCACGGCAGCAGCAGCTGTTAAACAAGGGCAGTGCACAACAGCATTCAGAGTCTGAGAGGCTGAATTGTTCCTCCACTGAAAAAGAACAAAATCCTGGCACCCAGACAATGCAGGTTTTACAGGAAGCCTCCGTGCCTTACCGCCTGTCCTGGGGTGACGTTATGATGCTTGTATCCCCATTCATCTGTTCTGTGCCTTTAAGACCGGCGCTGAAGAGTGGAAGTCTTGTTTGGGTTTCTCTTATCAGGGACACAGAGACGGGCAGTACTTGGGGCTGTTTTTCACTTCTTGCTTTCAGCTTGCTGCTTTGCTTGCTCTCTTTCCTGCTCTTGCTTCTGCTCTGCTTTGGCCTCTGCTTATTAGCTAGTTCTAGCTAAGCAGTCCACATCCCTTCCTGGACTGTTTCTCCTCTCCTGTTCCTGTGACCATCTCGAACCTGCTCCGGACTGGGACCTGGGAACACCGAAGGTTTGGCTGCAGCAGCTGCCCCAGCGCCGGAGGGACTGAGAACAGAGCAACCACCCCCGAAAGAGACTTTCTGATTTTGTCATCTTTCTCAGAGCGGTGTCATCGGGTATTGTTAATTTGGTGTGCTGGGGGGTGCTGTGTCTGGTAAATAAACAGGTTCTTTCCACCTCTCTCCAAGGAATTTTTTCCCGAACCGGTTGGGGGGAGGAGCCGTGTGGGTTTTGCTTTCTGGAGGGGCCCCCTTTGGAGATTCTTTAACAAATTTGCCCTAAACCAGGACACAGCCCTGAGTCCAGTAATATTTTCTGTAAATGCTCTTCCAAAACAACGCATTTCAACTTCTAAAGGAATGCAACTGTGGCTGTGGCCTCACCAATGCTTGACATGCACAAGTGTTGTTCCAACATGAAGTACAGAGTTTATTAAAAAGCAGGATTATAGACCTTCCCTAAATCACGTTAAGGATTTTGACCTGTCTTCAAAGCATATCAAATGGAAAGTGTAGTCTCATCTTTCAGGAGCTACTGACTACACCAGCTAGACAAACCACATACTCCTGCTAATGACCAAATTCAATTCCTCTTCTGCTATTCTACCTCATATATTTTAGGTCTATAATAATCTAATTAAGGCTGAGCCACACCAGCTTTATGATAGATGAAGGAAGTCCAGGAAGATGTTACATTTTAATTTTATAGCAGTTTGTGTCTATAGAAATTTATAGCACAGTCTTCAGATCAACAAAATTCTGCTACAGACAGCTTAGCCACAAAATACTGCAGACAAAATACCACAGAACAGCTTAAAAAAGAGATTAATCAGGGACTAGTTTATGAATAAGCTTTAACAAAGCCCATGTAACAAAATGTGTAAGTATATATGATGATAATTTATCTTAAAGTAAAAACCTTTCCAGAGCCAAAATGAATTCTCAATGTCTTTAAGGTAGACCAACCAAAAAAAAAACTCCAGAGGCATATTTCACAGAGGTTTTTGTTTCTGTTGTTTTTTTTTTTTTAAATTCAAAACAACCTTAATATCCAAAGTACTGGCAATAATAATGTATTGGAATAGAGGGATTTACAATGGCCATCTGTGACTTAATTATTGCTATCCCTGTTCAAGGATTGATTAAGCAGTTTAATCAGATGATTCTGTACTCCTGCATGATAAACTATGACAAACTACCCAAGAGACAGACCACCAAGGCATCAGAGCCTCCTAATAAACATCCTGCTCTACATTCAGGACAGACAGGGGCACCAAAAGGATACCATGAGCTCGTGGGAGATTCTTGAGTCACCTTGAATAAAGTCACTCCAGTAAAGTGGATCTCAAAGGGCAAACACAGTGACAGTGAAACCCCACTGAGGAGCCACTT